TGTATTTCTTGTTATTTCCATGTAATCCCATTAAAGGCCCCGACTGTCAGGATGCAGACTCGGATGAAGAGTGGCCTGCTCTGGGACACGCAGGTGCTGGTGATGCCGATGTGGAAGGCGACTCTGAAGTTGTTGTGGACGCCGACGATGAAAAGGCCATTGAGATGTTCATGAATAAGAACCCTCCAGTGAGGTAAGAAGCAACCTGGATTCATTTTGAATCTTAAGTGTGTGGGGATTAACGAAGATTCTCTGTGAAGTTATGCCTGTCTTCCGGATCTAAGACGGTTTTGTTTTTATGATGTTTGCAGGAGGACCTTGGCGGACATAATCATGGAAAAGATCACAGAGAAGCAGACCGAGGTTGGAACAGTGATGTCTGAGGTGTCAGGTCGCCCGATGCCCGAGCTGGACCCCAGAGTCATAGAGGTGTACAAAGGTGTGAGTAAGGTGAGTTCACCATTCGTGTCCCCTGGACTGATTTTGTTCAGTCCCTGACTGCAGTACAAGAATGATACAAAGTTTTCCTAACAGCACAGGTGGTTGATACAGAATATTTTGTTAATTAGGGCAAAATTATTAAGGACAAACTATTCATATTTTAATAACCACACTTATTGCATTATCTTTATTTCCATAGTCAATAGGATCACATGTATGACTTTTACTCAAAGCCCCATTCCATCCCATTCAGTTAAATTAAATTCAGTTTAGTTTTACAGCACCAGTCCACAACAAATGGACGATTTGATCATCCAGCCGTGTAAATTCAAATTCTTCTCAGTTGGGTTTGGCTATAGCAGGTTTATTTTATGTGAGTTAAATGTAGAAACAATTGAAACTGAATTCATAGTTTTTTCTTCTCTGTCAGGTTTTGTCAAGGTACCGCAGCGGAAAGCTGCCAAAGGCTTTTAAAATAATACCAGCACTCTCAAACTGGGAGCAGGTTCTGTATTTGACCGATCCAGAGTCCTGGACTGCGGCTGCCATGTACCAAGCAACCAGGTGGTTTATCTGTCTTCTTTGATTTTCAGTTAAAGTTCAATAATACGGAGGTGACTGAGGCAGATGATTTAACATGGTGAAATAACACTTTGCTGTTTCAGAATTTTTTCCTCCAATCTCAAAGAGCGAATGGCTCAGAGATTTTACAACCTGGTGCTGCTGCCGAGAGTCCGAGACGACATCGCAGAGTACAAGCGACTCAACTTTCACCTCTACAGCGCCCTGAAAAAGGCCCTGTTCAAACCAGGAGCATGGTTTAAAGGTGGGACTCTATCTTAACTTTGCTTATGACTAAATGGAAGGCCCTACACCATAACAAAAGTTGCATGTCTGCCTGGCCTTCATGCAAAGTAGATCAGGACAGCATGTGACTGCACACCTCCACCTTTTGGAGCTGCAGAAAAGCCGTGGTGGTGTACTGCTCGTTGCTGCAGCAGTGATGCATGCATACAGCTGACAGGTTGGCTCAGAGAGTGGCCATAAAACAAGTTGTTTCTTAAAAATCAGTTTATAAATTAGAAGGTAGAATAAAGTGGAACTTCATCCATCTGCAGTACCTGCTTATCTCCAACGGGCTGAGTTTACCCTGGACAGGATGCCATCCAACACAGGGACACACGCTGAAGGACAGATTACAGACAAATGAACCCAACACTTTTGGACTGTGTTACTGAAAGAACAAGTCAGAATAGTAATCAAAACAAAACAGTACAAAAATCTATACACATTACATTTAAGACATAAAAATATACTTTGTCTGTAAATATGTTCCACACAGAACTCTAAAGTGACATCGTTTTAGCTCCGCCCGGTTCAAATGCTGTAAAAAAAGTAATCTCATTCTAAACACCTTTTGGTATCCAGTTATTTATTTGTCAGTCAAATCATAATCAACAGATCAGCCCTACAATGTGTTGGTGTTAAGTCAAGTAGAAAGGACTTGATGTTAGATGGTATTTTTTTAGCTGCAGATCCATCCTTTGCTACAAACGATCAAGTGTGGACTGAAGGAATGCTGTTATTGCATTTCAGGCAATAATATTTTTATTTTCTTACTGAAAAAATGAACTAATTTATTTGCATCTTTTAATGTATATCTGATATTGTTTACATAAAATTGCAACATAAAAAAATCAGCAGAATTGCCAATTATTTTTTTAAATTAATCATCAGAAGAATCGGTAGACTAATCGATTACTGAAATGATTGTTAGTTGCTGTCCGAATTAAAGTAACTTGGTGAGTATGTTGAGCTCTGGTGACCTTGGTAATGCGGCGTCAAGGTCATGCTGTCAGCGCTCACTAATGGACTTGGGAAGAGAAGTCTGACCCACTTAGAGACGTCAAAGCCTGCAGGGCATCGCATTTTGTTGTGCATGGGGTGCAGATCAGGGGGGCTCCTGTTGACCCCTGGCCATTGCCAAGAAAACAAAGAATGGGCAAGTGAGCTTCAGAACTGGCGCGATGAATAAAGGTGACCTGACCTGATTCTTCACACGTTTTTGTCACTCTGACGGCAGGGTGTGTTTGAGTAAATCGTGACTCCTGGAGGCGCTATGGGGAAGAAGATAAGTAAACAAAGGCAGTTTGATGCTTGAGCAATGTTGTCTTGAGAAACCTGGAACCCACCCACCCACAATGGATGTTACTTGAGCACATAGCCTCTACATAAGTAACACTGTTTCATTCAATTCCTGTCGGCTGTGGGACTTTTCAGCCGGATATTTCTCCCTAGCACAAAGCAAATATGATTCAGGAGCACAAGTTTGGACTTGAGTGGCCCTTAGCAGTCCTTCAGGATAACAGTGACATAGACAGCACTTATTACAATGAAGAAGGAGCTCCTGCTGTATTTATTAACAACAGGGCAACAAAATAAACTTCTCTAAAACAGCCGGTGAAATGCAGCCTGAAGTTGAAGTTTATTTTCAGTGTCCATCTGTGCTTTTATTTGCTTGGTAAACAGTAATCGCTATGTAGGTCCTCGTTTCATGTCGGGCCGAGATCCAGTTTTTTGTGGCCTTTTGCAGAAACAAAGTGGGTAAATTAAATGAATGAAAGGATTTGACAGCTTGTCGCAGAGCAGAAATACCATCCTCCCTGGGATCTGACACATTTCTAAATTTAGTGCCAGATTTAAACATTTTATTCTGGGGGACACTGGGAGAGGATTAGCAGCTGCCTATTGAGTAAACGACACCACTGCTTGTTGCTGCATAACGAGCTTCGCAGTCCAACTAAACTGGGTCAGAACAGTCTTCATGTCTCTGTTGAACAGTTCATCTTCTTTTAATCCTGTCGGTTCTTGTGTCAGCAAGTTGCTCCAGTTTGAAAGGAACGATTACGCAAAAACAATCCATGTCCTAAATAATAGAGGGAGGATAAATAAACTATAAATAAAACAACAAATACCATGCGAGTCATTACCACCAGGTGGCAGTGTTGGTCTCAAAATAATAAAATGTATTAATACTTTCATGATGCCTTATTATTAAGAAAATGCAAAAATAAATTAATTATCCATTTAGTCTCTCATTGTGAAGGTAAAATTAGCAGAAAATTAAATATTTACCCTCATAAGTTTTTTAATATTTGTTCATGCTTTAGTATTAAAAGCTTTAACTGCAGCCAGCTTCACCAGTGCAACCTTTTATTTGCTTTTTCTGTGTTAGAACAACTACTAGTTAATATAATAAAGAATCCATATTTATAGCCTTATATGTCAACAAATTACAAGTTCCCACAGAAATACACAGCTAGTTATTATGAACATATTTATGTCTGTAAATATCTTCCTCCCAAAACTTCTCAAGTAGCATGGTTTTATCTTCATCCAGTTTAAATTCATCTATTCTTATTGAACATGGGGAACCAATATGAAGTTTTATACTTTTCTATTAGTTAATCCAGAGAAACTCCTATTAGTTTGTAAATTGTGGAGTACTTTTTGTTTTTGTTATGCTTTTCTTATGTTATTTTGTTTGAATTTCCTCTAATTTATGTTGAGCACTTTGAGTTGCCTTGTTGCTGAAAATGTGCTATCTAAATAAAACCGCCTTACCTTACCAAAGGGATGCTTATGTTCTCAAATTTTAGGCAACAAAATATTTATTTTCTTACGTGAAGTTGGAATTGAGTTTTAATATTAGCAATTTCTGATGCATTTCTAGTATCATACATAAAAATGCTCAGGTGTCTGTAAAATGTGGCAACGTCTTTGTGCAATTAATCGTCAATAATAGATGACTGAAATAATTGTTAGTTGCAGCCCTACTCTCGTGTCATTTTTGATCCACCTGTTTTGCATTCTAACGCTTTAACTGAAGTAATATTTTGTGCCTTTATTGGAACGCAGGTATACTTATTCCGTTATGTGAGTCTGGGACGTGTACGCTGAGGGAAGCCATCATCATTGGAAGCATACTAACTAAATGCTCAATCCCGGTGCTGCACTCCAGGTAAGGCGTCTTCCTCACGTCCACACGCCGTCTACTCACCGTCTCATCGTGTCGCATATCAGACCCACTGTCTCCGAAAGCCGATTTAGCATGTAGTCCTTGTAAGTCAATGCAAGGTCAGTGTTGCATAACTGGTTTATTCGTTCTCGTCTTTCAGCGCGGCGATGCTTAAATTGGCAGAGATGGAGTACAACGGTGCCAACAGCATTTTCCTGCGTCTCCTGCTAGACAAGAAGTACGCCCTGCCTTTCCGTGTCCTGGATGCCTTGGTGGCCCACTTCCTGTCTTTTCGCAGTGAAAAACGTGTTCTTCCTGTGCTGTGGCACCAGAGCCTCCTGACCCTGGCCCAGCGCTACAAGGCCGACCTGGCCGCTGAGCAGAAGGAAGCACTGCTGGAGCTGCTCCGGATCCAAACACACCCTCAGATTTCAGCAGAGATTCGCAGAGAGCTGCAGAACTCAGAGTCAAGAGATGTTGAAGTTGGACTCCCTGCTATAGTTGATATGGACTGATGTAGTCTGCTTTTTCATGTTCCCTCAGGGTAAAAAAAACTTTGGCTGCCTTTGTGTTAGAAATTTTGAAATGACAAGACCTTGGTGGAAACTGGTCATGCTCCTTCTTGTTACTGCAGAAAAAACATGCTTATTAGTGGTGATGTAAGATGTTATTTTGTAACACAAATCTGAGCTTGGGAATAAAGAAGCTGTGGGAATTCAGAGTTGGATAAATTAGCAATTCGGACTAAAAATCTACTGAATGGTAATGATATGGTCATTGATTTTTATTTATTAACAAGCCACAGAAGCTCAAACTTGTTGAGACTTAATCCATTATTAGTCTTGGAATGGTTGAAGAACTAAAAATTCTATATTTCAATCACTGCAGCAGAAATTGGTTCTCTGACTTTTAGAGCATCTAATATTTTGCTTGTAGTCGTCAAGTTTGTCACAATAAAGAAATAGCACAACTTCTTTTGCATGCAAACATTAGTACAGTGTTAAACAGAGCCCCTGATAATGGTTGCTGCAAAACAAATCTCCTTTATTCAAAAGAATAATAACCATCCTAATAGTTAATGGTTATTTCAGTTGACTATTTTTATTGCTAAAAGTTTAAAACAGTAGTTTTTACAACTCCATGTTGGCTAAGGACAGGAAAACATTTCAGTCTTTAGGTTTTCTTCCCACATCTCCAGACTTTTGAATGATTCAGCTTCCTTTTTCTACACAGTGAACATTTCAAATGTTAAAGCGTGACGACAGCAACCCAAATAAATAATACTCAAAAACAGAGTTATCAAAGCTAAACTGGCCTGTGAGGGGAAAAGCACACACAAAAGTACATGCAGATTTTGTCTATAATAATCGGTTGTGCTTCAAATGCTGCCCTCAGGTGTTTCACGTACCTGTCATTTGTAGCCATTCATAGGGGGGGATTTCCTGGGATTCTTGCTACATAACCCAAGTGTGTCTGGGATACAACTCAGAATGTTTACCATTTTCCTGTAAGAAATAAAGTATCTTAAGAGATTTTTTTCCTATGTACTCAAGTTGATGATTTAAGGAAAAACAAATAATATGGAAGAGCAGCAGGGCCATTAAAAAACAAAAATCTGAGAATAAAGTTCAGAGTTCTTAATTTAATCTCAGAATTGTGACTATTTTCCAATATTAATTTTTTTTTTCGTAAGAAACGGAAGAAAACCTTCACGCTTTGAACTCCTGTCGCCATGGTAACAGCACACTTAGCCGCTAATGCTAGGAGTTTTCTTTTTAACTTAGCTAGCGTCTTTACGGGCGGCTGGATGCTACGTTTGTCATTCAAAAGCGTTTAGGGAAAGATGGAAAGCTTCCAGTATGAGTCGGGGACGAAACGCGTCCACGAGCCGGCGCAGGGTGTGGTTCTCAGAGCGGGTAGAGACCCCGAGGTTATCGGCGACCGCAGGGCCCTGGACAACCTGCGGGCCCTGGAGGAGGCCTGCCGCGCGTCCCCCTGCTGCTCCGTTCAGAAGGACATCCAGCCGCACATGAGGAGGATTGTCACCATGTGGATGCTAAAGGCACGTCGGTCTTGTCTTAATTTTCATTAAACACACCCGGTGTCGTTCGGATGATAAAAGCCGGTGTTTGGCAGGTGTGCGAGGAGCAGCTGTGTGAAGAGGAGGTGTTCCCGCAGGCGGTGCGCTACATGGACTCCTACCTGAGCCGTTTTCCCATCCAGAGGTCCCAGCTGCAGCTCTTAGGGGTGGTTTGCATGTTCCTCGCCTCCAAAATGAGAGAAACTGTCCCACTGACAGCTGACAAGCTTTCTGTCTACACAGACAACTCAGTCTCAGTCTCAGATATTTTGGTAAATCTGTTATCTTTCTATTTTCTTCCTTCTTTTTTCTTTGGTTCATATTTTGGGGGAAATATATTTTTTTAAGTAAAAAGTTACATAAAATCCATTTAAATCTATCCTTCTAAAATATATTTACTCTCTTTAGCAGACAGCCATTTGCAAAAGTATTCATTTGGAATTGAACTTGATTTAACTGGAACCAGTCACTGGTTTTTAGGGGTGGCATTTTGAAGAAATTAAAAATGTAATCTATCACTTTAGCCAACTTGGTTCAGATTGATCTTTTTACTGATCTAACAAAATAACAACAGTCCTCCTGTAGTCTGTTTCCATGAGGGCCAGATTTGGCAAGTGCAGTTCCTATAAAACCATTCATTCTCTTGGATGTTTTATGCTTTTCGTTGGTTTTACGAATAAATCATGATCAACAAAATTTGTCTTTCTGAAAAAGAAAAAAAAAAAAAATTATGACAAATAATGCATCTGTTGTTATTATCTGGGTGTATGAAAATGTATAATATACATATTATCTAAACCTTATTATAATCAACATGTTATTTGAATTAAAGTGCCACCAATGTATTCAGATTCAGATAACATACGTTCAGTCTGATAGTGGTAGAAAAATATGCTAAATTGAAACTTTATATCTAAATTTCTAAAACAAACTGGGGAGTCCGGAAAAGTCTGGAAATCTGACCTGGAAAACTTAACAAGTAGTTTATAAACTACTTTGTATATAATAAAGAACATTCCCAAAGCCCTTCTAAGCTTCTCGACATGAATCATTAGTTGTACTAACTTTTTGTTAAAATGAGCCTCACAATGATACAAGACATCAACAATGTAATTATTCTGAAAAGTCAGAATAATTGTGAATCCATTTTAAACTATGCAAAAAATGTGCTTTTTCCTGTAGCCTTTGTTGATGATTTAAAGGTATTCATGCATACATGACTTCCTTAGTGTCAACGTGAGGTAGTGGGGGCCAATGACCGGTGGCCTCATGTATGTGAATGTCCTTGCAGTGGGATTATGATGGAAGGTTGATTTAGAGGAATGTGTATGTTGCAGCAGTGGGAGGTGGCGGTGGTGTCCAGGTTAGGCTGGTGTCTGGCCTCTGTGGTCCCCTCTGACTTCCTGGAGCCCATTCTTCATGCTCTCCCTTTCGTCCAGGCCTCTCACCTCCAGCACATCCGCCAACATGTTCACTCCTACATCGCTGTGGCAACAATGGGTGAGTTGCGTAACATTGTTACCTACACATGAGGTGGCTGGCTCCAGCAAAGAGGAACAAAAGCTGATTGATTAGCTTGGTTACACATTTCATCTGGTCATAAAAGGAGTCTGTGTTATGTTTTGAGTTACTGCATAGCTGATAACTTTTATGTAATTAAGCATTGTTGCTCCTGTGAAATCAAACATCTTTGCAAGCAGTGACCAGTTGCAGTGGCAGCAGCCATTACTGTGGTCACGATGTGTCAGCATTTTGTTTTGGAGGCATGGAGCTGAGTTTGTGTAATCCTGCATTGTCCTACCGTGAAAGTCCTGGCTATTCAGCTGGGTCAGTTCCCATGATTCTCTGTGATGGTGCCAGAGGCAGCAGGTCATAAGGATGCCTTCAGTTGGTTCTCTTTCAGACACACTATAATGTTACAGCACTTTCAGTAAAAATAATTCCCGGATCTCGACTTTTTGCGGCATTCAAAAAGGTCTGACGCAAACACAGAATGGATTTGTCTCACGATTTCTCCTGCCTGCAGCAATTAGGATATTAGGTAGACAGGTTTTGGGAAAGGACTTCCTCTCTATTTGTCTTTCAGGGTGTGTCTCGGTGTTACCCTGTAGCCTTGAGTATCGCAGAAATCCTCACAATGATGAAATCTCTAGTAACTCACCCGCTTTTTGTGTCTCCAGATTGCAAGTTTTTGTCCTTCCTGCCCTCTACTCTTACATGTGCCTGTGTGAGCAACGCCATACAGAAACTAAAGATGGTGGACAGCCACAACTTAGAGTCAGTTATCAAGTTTTTGGCCAGCCTGTTGGCTGCTGATCTGGTAAGTATAATATTTAACCAGTATTTGCTGCAATCGCTTTGACTTTGCCCGGTCAACAGTATGTTTTGAAGCTTTTTCTCCCAAAACTTCCTTATCAGCCTTCATGGGATTTTATGTGGCTGTAAATGCTGCTGGAGTTGTTCACCATTAGGTGTAAGAAACCTAAACCAGACAGTTCCAGGTTGGTTTGGATACCTGTTCTCCTTAAAAAAAATGTAATTACTATTCTGAAACTTTTAAGTGTAGTAAAGAGAAATAAACCAAAGAAATCTTCAAGGAGACAAATCTATTTTTTCTCAGCAATTATGTGTAATGAATTGATTCAGGTCTCTCTTTGATTCAAACTAATGGAATAAATTTACTTCTTGATTTTTTTTGTATTGATCTTGTGCTGCATGTATGGCTAAGAACGCTTAAACAGAGTATTTCAATATGTTAAGGTATCCCATCACCTTAAATCCAGGCCCGTTTGTGATTCTTGACCCCAAACAGAGTACCCTCATCTGCTGCTGCGAGCTGTTAGGAAGCGTGTTGGAGCTCAGTCTGCCCTCCTGGATCCAGGAGGGAGTTGGCAGGAGAGAAGCACACAGTTCAGAGATCAGCTGCGGTCCTGCACACATCCAGGATGTCATCCTGACACCGCTTGTACCATCTCAGGAAATGAAGCTCAAACACTCCTCCCTGCCATGAACTGTTCAGATGATTTAAACTAAAATTGGGAAGCAGTGGAATTATATCCACAGCCCAATTTCTAAATGTTATTTTTTCAATATAATTATTTAAAAAAAAACCTGTTGAATTTATATTGTGTTTAGAAAAAGCTCTGTTCTAAAATTTCTGATTGTGCTTGCAATTCATCAGCGATACTAAGCTGCACTTTAACCTTGACAACAATGTTTGCTTACTTTCTACAACAGTATGTTTGAGTTTCTTTGTACCTCGTCTGCTGCTCTGATAAGTTGAAACTGCTGTTGCTGCACGTTTCCAACAACTCATGTGATCTACGTGGATAACATGATCAGTCAGCTAATGAGTTTTTTGTTTTTTGTTTATTGATTTCTTCATCCCAGGAATGTAGATCAAACAAACCAATGACAAGCTAGAAACTTTGACCAACACAGACATCGTAAAATGCGTAAGCAAAGCCTCCAGATTTCACTTTCTCTGAGGATAGGAAAAAGTCAAAATGCTCACATACACCTTACTCTATTCACTGAAAGTGTCTTTGTAAAGTTGCTTGTTTGCCTTATAACTTTCAGTTGAAACATGATTTCTTATGAACATGCACAGGCAATCTGTTCCTGATGATCTACAATAAAACTACCACATTAATTTAAAGACAAAAGATTTTTTGAACAGCAGCATACATGTGCAGCTTTGACATTAAAGTTAAAGGTCATAAAATTGCTCTACCACACCTAACTTGATACCAATAGGAATTAGGCAACTTGTGTGTATTGTATAATTTTTTTACCAAACAATAACATCTTTCTTGCTTGAAAAAAAAACAAAGCAAAAACAGTAGACAATCCAGAGTCAAACTGATGTGCGAGAATTTTTAGGCTTAAATAAAAATATCATCTGCATATATGGTTATTCATTCCAAGTTTTACCCTGATACAAGTCAAAATATTCCAACAGCTCACACTCTGCCCACTTTGCCCAAGCACGTGTTTCTATTCTTGTGCCAGAAACAAAGACTTGGTGCACCTCGCCCTCTGTTAGGACCTGCCACGTGCATGCAAATCGTCAGAAGCCACCTGTTCATATGCATTAGTGCAAGTTAGGAGGCAAAGCAGGTTTTACTGGTCACACCTGTTCAAGTCATTATCCAAACAAGTAATTTCAGGGAAAACATGAAAAGAAACAAAACACTGAGATTACATTTCTCTTACAGGCAAACGTAATCTTGGCACTTTCTGTTTTACAAAACACACCAACGTCTGAGTAAATTTACTCTTTGGTTTACAAAATGTCAAGTTTCCACACAATAAAAGCCATTACAGCAGATAAGAAATCCTAACATTTAACCCGATTTCTCTACATACTGATCACAAAACTGAAATTTAAATGGGTCAAAACTGTGTTGACTCACACCAACGGAAATAAAAGACTTTGTAAATCAAAACTAACAAGTGGTCATAAATGTGGAAAGTAGGCCATCATGACACACTGGTAAAGAGACAATTAAAAACAAAGTTATTCAATCGACTGCTGTACTTGAAATATCTTTTCCAAATTACTATTTTGGTTAAAATGTGAGACACTGAACATTACAGCTCTGAAATGTTGAGCTTTAGCTCTCATCTCCCAAAAATCTTTGATGTTTAACCGATCCTTAGCTCTGTTTAGTTTAAATAGAATTAAAATCAGTTTCTTTTTCTAGATTAAATCCCAGTTATGAATCACCCAAGACATATTCAGATCTTTATGTGCATGTCCTCCCTTTTTGGTTCGGTATAATTCTTCAAGTTTTCCAGAAGCCCCATCTTGGCCATCATGTCCTCAGTAGTTCGTTCTTTCCTAAAGCCGGATCCTTAGCTTGCTGCAGATCCCTGTATAACCATGGCCTGTTTGTAAGTTTCTGTCACATTATCGCAGTCACTGATTGAGAAGGCGCTGTCGGCCACTCCGGACCTGTAACAGTCCCATGGTCTCAGCACTCTGTCGGCCAGAATCCTGTCCTCAGCTATGTCCAACAGATTGTCTGCAGAGATGCTGCCTCTCATGCTGGCTTTGGCCGGTTTGTTCGATTGTGTCGGAGGTCTCACGTGGTCCGGCAGGTCCAGCTGATCAAAGGACTCCGAGGACAGAATGCTGTCTTCACTGATGGCTCCGCTTGGTCTGCACTTGGTGGCTCCTATTGGTAAAGAAGCTGCCAACTGATCCAGAGAGCCAAACTCTTGAAGCCCACCAGAAGAGAATTTTCCATTTCGCTTGAGGATGCCTTTTCTACAGGCTGGAGCTGAAGGACACTCTTTAGTTTGTGGCACCCAGCCAGAGTCACTGTGTTCAGGTGAAGAAGAATGATAATCCGACTCTTTCTCTACGGGTTTCTTGAGAATGCCTTTACGTGGCAGCGCTGCAGAATAACTGATCTGGGAATTCACCACACCCACATTTGGGCTTTCATGTATTGCTTTCTGTTTTGCACTATTGCGCCTCTTTAGAATACCCTTATGGGGCCGGGAGTCTGTGACTGCGTCATTAACCGGATGCGAGACGTTATTCTCCTTTTGAGACCTTCGTAGAGAGCGCTGCCGGACGACATCACCTCCACTGACCTGCGAGCGGAGCAGGCAGCGCATCTTGGAGCCATTCTCCAGTAAAGGTCTGGATGTACGCCGTAGCCAACTAGCAACAGTGGTCAGCCCAGTGGGATTTTGTGTAGACACCAGTGAATTGGTTTGTTCTGTAAAACTGTTTTTCCTCTCGCAGAGCAGCACTTGCTGGTAGCCCCAGTTCAGCCACCAATGTCCCGCAACCTCCTCAATTGTAGCTCTGCGCTCGGGATTCACCATGAGCATCCAACGAATGAGTCCACAAGCATCTGTGAGAGCAAAAGAAGGAAAACATTACAGATCTGGTGCTCAAGTTTGCCTTAGAAATAAGATTACACATCCAAATGAAGAGCATCAGATGTACCAGATGGTTTGCTTGGTTTCCTGTAGTTCCCTGTGCTAATCTGCTGGACCAGGATTTTGTGGTTGAGCCCATCAAATGGCATGGTGCCATGAACCAATGTGTACAACAGCACACCAAGGGACCAGGTGTCGACCTCAGGCCCACGGTACGGCCGTCCATTGACGATCTCTGGGGACGCGTATAAAGGGCTGCCACAAAAGGTCTGAAGATATTCATCTCTGTGGTAAAGGTTGGACAACCCAAAATCTGCAATCTGAAAAGGTAAGAAGTCAAAAGATTACCTTCATATCTCCTGATCTTGTGGATTAACATTTTAACTTTCCATTATGACAGAGATTATTTATTGAAGATAATTATTCTATCTTTAAATAACGGTTCATACAACAAGTCTTAAGAATACATGCAACATTTAGTAAAGTGACAGGTTTTGTAAAGTAAAAGCATTATTAATCATTTTCCTCATTTAATGTCACATACCTTCTGTACAATTCATTTGAAAAACAAATATTTGTGGAAAACATGTACAAAACAAGTAACCTGGTTGCATAAGTGTGTAAATCTATCAGATTTAAATGACATCTCTAGTGTCATATTCAGTTTTCCACTCCATTCCAAAACTTCAACTTCCTTCAGGTGAAGCATTTCATTGTTGATTTTGACGTTTACTCAGACTCACAGTGACTCAATGTAAACTCACATCTACCTTGATGGAAATCCAAGTTTTGCTTTGGGCATGGTGCACAAACATATTTGATGAAAATGTAGCAAAAAAAAAAAAGAAGAAGAAAGAAAAAAGTTTTTTCTACTGCAACCCTACTTCTAAAACAAAGAAATAGTACCAAAGACTGCAGCACCTTCAGCCATTAGTTTCACACTAATTGTTGGGAGTTCAAGAGCTGAATTTAAATAACCTGGTCTATAAAACAAAGAGTTTATACATTTATGCAGCCAGTTACTCCTCATTTTGTATTGATTTGTTTGATTTTCAGTCAAATTGCAGTCTACTTCTTGGTAATCTGGCAAATATGCAATTTTAATAGCCTCTCTAAATAAGAAAAAGAGTAATTACGTAAGGAATTCCAATGCATTTTATGGTACAACATAATCTGAGAAAGAAAAGTCCTGGTAAAATATTGCCAACTTTCACGAGTTGTTGCGTGTGAATAAAACAGGGTGTAAACGCAGCATGCATACCTTCACATTGCCGTTGCCATCTAGTAAAATATTCTCCAGTTTCAGGTCCCTGTGTACGATTCCATTCTAGGAGGAAATAAAAAGTTCTTTAAAAATGTGAAATATTTTAACATAAAATTTAACTTCACTCTCATTATTGTACATCAGTTAACATTAAAATGTCCACACTACATATAAAAAGGCCATCTTTTCACTGTCAGACTGAACATTTTCTTCAAGTATGTTAGCTATGTGTCTTTGTCCTTCGCTCTGCAGGGGGGAATACCTTTGATATTTAAATTAGTTTCCTTTGGAGCAAAAAAAAAAAACACCACCAAGCTGCGATTCACAATCAGTATGATGATGCATTCTGGAGTTTTGTTACATTTGTTTGTAGCCAAGATGCATCCATGTAAAAACTAATAATTTGTGCTGACATTTTGGGTAATAAAACATGTGTCAATGACCTTTCAACGTTATGCAAGCATGGAAGATTAAATATTTAACAAGAGATGAGTGCACCATAAAAGTAAAATACGACAGATGGCCGACATAGTCTACGACAAGCAATTAGCAGTAAGTTTCATCCCAGCAAACATTTATGAAGGGAGTCCAAAGTGCAGACTGTTCACCCTGACATATAGGAAGCCCTAAATGTAATTGTCCTGGACTGGACCGTAGAAACAACTAACTCATGTGTGTTTGTCAGGGAGGGGGTTCTGTTCATTCACACCCTCATTAAACTGTTAGTTTGTGTGTGCGTGCGTTCTGGAAGAGCTGGCCTCTAGCCCCAAAGCTAGCTCTGCTCATTTCTGTCTCATTGTTCTCACAGCCTTCCTGTTCAGAGCTGCCTGGTGACAGTAAATAATGACCCTTATGTAACGTTTTGGAAAATTTATAACCCGTTTCTATGGCGTTTGAATGATGACTTTATGGGTAAAACATTCTTACCTGATGGCAGTAGTGCACAGCAGATACGATTTGCCTGAAGAAGTGCCTAGCTTCGTGTTCGGAGAGGTTTTTCTTGTCGCAGATGTAGTCGTACAGATCCCCCTGGCTGGCATACTCCATCACTATCACAATTTTGTCCTTGTTCTCAAAAACTAAGAAAGCAGAAGAACAGCCTTTGTTTAAACATTTGCAACACTAAGATGCTGAGTAACAGGTTTCTACAATAAGGATGAAGAAGCACTGATAATGACCGTCTCATTAGAATCGATTGGTGACAGAG